CCGCAAGTTAGAGGATAATGCCTACTACGCTTGTACGAAGAACGTTGCGTCTGGGTAGAGTCTTGAAACGGCTCCGCAACAGATCTGTCCTTGCTTATGAACCGGATACCGAAGATCTTGGGTGCTTCACACGATTCGAACATCTATTAGCCCTTAGACAAACGATAATGTGCGGTACTTAACGGCAGTTCCAGGTTCAAAAAGGCCCATCCACTATTACAATGCTTGAAACGTTTGGTGAGTTGATGAATCGGAAATTAGTGAGGTGACTTGTACACATTCATCGGTGAGGATCTGTATTCGCCCTCGTGCCTGCTTACACAGCATAGACTCGACAGGAAGTCCTGGTGAAGAGTCTGAGCGAAGGTGTATTAACAGAGAATTAACTCGAACAGCCACAGGAAAATTTCAAACAGAAAGTCTTAAAAATTCGAAACGTACGGTAGGTAAACGAATTGTAACGATATTGCCCTAGAAAAGAGCTGATAGAACCTGACTGCGAACATTACCGTTGTGTACAAGGTCTTGGATGCCCGAGTAAAGACAGTTTGCCTAGTTTTTCGAATAAGTTTCTCTTTAGAAGAACGCAGCAGCTCTATCTACGGCAAAGACACGGCAGAAATTTGCCGACAGTATCCGAATTACGGGTCTTATGCTCACATACGACGAGCGTGCTTTGGTGTCATCATAATTTGTTTCTATTTTTGTAATTGGAATAATAGAGCGGAGAAATTGTATATAATGATGAAAAGCTTCGATCTGGCAAAAGAGTGTGGAGTGCGACGTAAACACGATAAACCTTCCATTTCCAAGGAAATACTTAATATATTTTTCAAAATGAATTATCAAGACATTACACTGATTAAATATTTTATTGTGCACTTTTAATCATTTTTTGTCCTGACGCAATACTGGGCCGTCCGTATTGCAATAGGGAAGTCCACTGCATATGACAAAACGTCCCAAGAGAATTTCTGAAACAATTTCTGCTGTCTCTGAACGCTGACCTAAACGCTCCGATCCCTAAGTCAAAGCGCATTAGATTCATATAGTTGCACGCAGTATTTTATCTGACATGTTACCACTACGGAATAACCTACATTGCATTTAAAAAAAAGAAAGAGGCAAGTATTTTCTAACTATTTAACCGCACTTCGGAGGGGCAAATTAGGGTGTAAGTTTAGTATAAAAAGCTTGCTTTAAATCAATTGCGAAATCATTTTGTCGTCGTTTATTAATTGGTACAAAATACTAAAATGATCCAGGTTGTTATATAATGCTCGATAAACATAAGCTGTCCTCAAACGCTGGTGGGATTAGAAAATTCCCAATGGAACTACCAGTTCTGGTTGAGAGCTTCAGCGTAGTTGTACTGACACCTCAGTGATAGCCGGCGCCTGACGATCAGCTGAATCGTACTGCCGAAGCGAGTCCACGTTGCGTGATGAAGTCGTTATGTTCTAAAACCTGAAAATATGCCTTACATTTTGAGTCGGGAGTTACCGCTAAGCACTACATTAAGCTTGTACTGGATACCTAAAAAGTGTTCTACCGCTTACCAGGTTCCGTGATAGTGCAGTATTAGGGTGTTTGTTTGTTAAACATAGTTACACGTGAAGCGTGTTAGATTCGACAGCGGACATAACCTCACTTCGCCTTAACTGATGAGCCCTATAAAGCAATACTTATCGTGAGCTTATCGTAAATCAGACGAAAACTCGAAACGTGTACTTCGTCCTACATGTTGATTCCGGTTCGTTGTCACTTAGGATTTTACCGCGACTGCTGTAGATTGCGTTTACCGCGGATGGTTCCAACGAAACTGCGATAATCGTATTACTCTTTTAATTAGATTACATAGTCTTGTTCACGCAATAGAATTCAGGTAGTAAATTTCGTCTGGCACATGCTGGACAAGATGATACATAAAGTGGCTGGAATCAGCACACTAGGTTTCACGCTCACAAAGGGCGTTTGTTCTGTCGGTATTCATCGACACCATTGTCGCACGATTAGCAATAGGTTTTGCGGACCGCTGACAACAAGTACCCGGGGAAAAAATCGATCATAGGCGAAGATTTTTTGTAAACAAAATTACCTGCTTTTACAGATTGTGACTCTAGAGAACCCACGTGTAAACTATGCCGTGAATGAAATTTGTGATTTTCTACGATATTCATTTAAGCACTACTACAGACATTCGAATATGCAATACCTAGTATGCTAAAAGTACGTGCTCATATATACGGGTATGCATGGGTCTGTAGTCGGATGTGAAGCCATAGTTATCTAAAACTACCATCAATCGCCACCTGACTCACTCAAATCTTATAATGTAATTGAACGTACAGAGTAAAGGGTTTGATCCCCCCTTGTCCAAGAGAAGAACGCATTCGTCTTCCATTAGACGACGACCGTTGAATCGGCACAGGAATCGGGATGACGGCTTGCGGCGTTGAGGATTCTTCCCTGGAAAGCTATAAAGGAGAAATAAGACGGAAAGTACCTCCTTCCGAGCTCCAATATGATCATTCTAAACCAAGAGTAAGATCTTGCTCTTTTCATTCATTCGAAGAGATCATTGAGGCACGGATGTCGATGGTCGTTCAGCTTGGCAAACGTGGCCGTAAGAATGTCTTTATGGCAATGGCTACACGGACCGAACGGGTACGGCATCGACCCAATCTTTCACCGCTAACAGCTGGCTCCGCTGTCTTTTTAACCTAGCTTGAATTATACCATAGAGAACATGACGGCCTTTGACAGCTGAGGCCAGCATGGGATCCGTCCGCCGAGCTGCGTTTTCTCAGGAGCAGCAACCAGGATGGCTCGAAAGGCACTAACCGAGGCAACCTTATATCGTCTGAGACTAGAATGAATCACATCCCAGTACCGTTTATTTTCCATATATAATAATCATAGAAAGGGAGGTAAAAGGAAACGCTGAATGAAATATTGAATACGATAGCTGATGAGCCGTCAGTCTTATGCTATTCGGATCCTTCAGAGGAAATCTAGATTAGATCTAGAAAAAAAGGGGGAAAAGGCACTGCATGACGACATATAATACATCATATGCGTACGGTTACGTGAAATTCATTCAGCGTCCGTCATAATGGGCATGGTCTCACTGCCACGGAAAACCCAACAATACAATTACAGACGGCTGAAACTGTGTGTCCCCACTAGCGGTTGCAGTGGTTGTAAAGCCTTAATGGTGATACTAAATTGGGTCGCTAGGGAAGACCAAGGAGCTGGGTATTCGAGCAACATACAAGCTAGACAACGCAACATCCGATTTGTTTGGATCTAATAATGTTGATGTCGGTCTCACTCACAAACGTGGCGGATACTTTTCTCTAAATGGCCTCCGGCCTTAATGTGTACTGCGTGATTTTTGGGCTTCATAGTTTAGACTGCCAAGTAAGCGCAGTGCCCTAAGGGAGTATTCTTCGGCGTGTGAAGTACGACACGGCTAAATGCTTTCTGAAGCTGAACTAGCGCCTTTATCGCTGGCGGGCATTTGATTTGTTATCAACGCTTAACGACACAGGGCTCCAAAAAATGACCACGTAAGCACGTTTTTGGAGGCATGAATTTATGGGGAAAAATATAGCGATGTATTAAATCGCTGAATTTGAGCCAAACTTCGACGGTAAGCCCATCAGGTAGCTAGCCGCCTAGCCGTACCCTAAGCAGTGGAATTCTTCGGTATAGAAATGCTTCAGGAAGTTTCGTCAACTTTAAACTCAGCATATTAAAGTTTTATTGCGATGAATAATCAAGTTTCGTTGGTAGCGTTCCAGCAAACGGCCATTCGAAAACCGTTACGTTGCGTTCTATGCAGAATTTATCGCTTTGCAGTGTAGTCAATTATATACGTCGCGTTCAGGCAGGCACCTATTTTAAAATTATTATTATTATTATTATGCATAATAATGGAAGATAATTTTTCTTGTTGTAAAAGAAAAGGAAAATTATATCGATTATAATATTAGTTACAATACAAATGAAGGAAAGATGCACTTTCGATCGGAAATATTAAACAGACACTGTTGCAGTATTATGATTGCTTATCTTATCGGTGATGTGTTTCTATACGTTTTTTTCAGATCTATGAGTCAAAATATACGTTTGTAGTAAATATCGACACCGATATCAGAAAGTTTACTATACATAAATTTTACTTTTTTTGAAAATTTTCTTTATTTATTATATATATATATATATATTTTAGCCATTCTTTTAACTTGGAGAGGGAATTGGTTCTGTTTAGCGTGACCGGATTGGCTGTTCCAATGGAAGACTTTACAGAAGATATCGCTTCATGGGCCGCTTTGTACGACTAATTGGCACGGAATCGATTTAAAGTAAACTGCCACCTTCGGTCTGTCTTATGTTTTCGGAAAAATCCCACAAATATCTCGATGGTGTTCTCACCGTCTTCCTGATTTCAACTATTATACTAAGAAATCATTTAAGCGATGTTCACACCAGCGGTCAGTTGAGTGATACACAAACTCTCATTAACTAATCTACACAGCTCTCGAGAAGTAAACCTAAACGTACATTATCAAAGCATAAGGAATTTTATATATATATAAGGTTTATCATACAAGCAATCCCCTTCATGCGACCATGCAATGGACAACGAGTAATCCGTTGTGAGCTAAAGCAGGCTCCTAATACTGGTTTGTTTCTTTTTTACTTATTTACAAAGAGTATATGCACATACCTATCAAGAAATACTGGTATATATCTCAACTAGCGTAGTAAAAAGTTAGTCCACCACAGATACGCGATTATACGTAGAGGTGTAAAATCAATCGGTGGTCCTTGTTTCCTTTACTATATGCTGTACCTAAGGAGGCCCTTATGACAAATAAAGACTCACTGTGCACACGCACCCGTTTTCTTCCGAACCTTTTTAGGACGCTTTAATCTTCATCTTGCAACTTTATACGCACAAAATTACAGGTTAAAGTCCGAGAAATTTCGGCAAATTCAGCAGTTTATTTATTATGCACCGTCAACAAATACTGCGAACGGCTATGTAGAATTCCGCTTAAAGCGACCCAAAAGCTTTATAACTGAAAACACTGAGTGTTTTACAGATTCCAACTATTATTAAGTGTAATATTTGAATGATAATAGTACATAGTGAATGCAAGCTGATGTTTTTTTTTACCAACTACGATACAAGAGAGAATTTAACATCTTTATTTAACGATTGTCCCTAGTTGTGTGAAATCGGTAACAAAAATACACCTATCTTGTACTTCCTTCGTAAATATGTTACCTCCACACATCTGTTTTTTACCTAGATGGGTCAAATAAGTATAGCTAATACGTACAAAAGACATCAACTTTATAGCTTTATTTCGCAAAAAAATCATTTTGACTTGTTTTGTTGCTATTCGTTTTGTTGTTAGTATTCTTGTTATTGTTCTACCGTTATCGTGTTGCTGGGTCGAATCTATTGAAACGTCTACATGTATATATATATACAAACCAGCAATATATCTTTGCATTTCGTTTCGGATACTGTCTATGTATATATTATCTTTCTCGATACCCACCATGACCCTTCCGCTATTAATCTCAATTTGAATACATCTTCCGTTTGTTTCGGGAACTGTGTTCGTCAAATTTGTCACCGTCGGTGCCGCATCTCAAATCAACGCAGCACTCTGTTCACGTAAATCAAGTCCACGTACGTGACACAGTCCTGCTCATACACAGCAGCCAGGACCTCGCTGCTTACTTTCATTTAATTCCTGCCTTCTTTAAACCCGAACTGTTAAACCAACCTAAAGGTACTCAAAAAGCTACCTTCGAACTACCTTATTTTTATAACCCCTGCACAGAATTCCCAATAGTACTTATCCTCGTACGTTGTCTAAGAACGTTTTTTTTCACAGTTTCACTTTTAGTAATACTTTACACTTTCATATTTGCCCCTGTCACCTATTCATTTGCAACTTTTTTATTAACGTGTTTTCTTCTTTCTACTTTATTTGGTATCTTTCGTCATACGCTACGTCACCTCTGCTTTCGTTCTGACCTTGACGTCTTTGTCTCTTTGGCGCCCCTTCTACACCTATTTAGTATGTACAAGACAAATCACTTCGCTATACGGAACTACGGCTGCTGGGGCCACCCTTTTACCTCTTAGCCCCCTGGTTTCCGGTAGGTTTGCCGGCCACTCTCGACGCCTATCATCGCCTGTCGTCATCTTCGTTTTTGGAACATTTCACTATGCGCGTAGTAATCTTGGATACCTGGATTACCCACCACCGATCTTGTGCTAAGCTAACGTGGGAAAACCGAAGGAGGCCTTCGCTGCTACGTCGCCCCGAAGTTCTCTATGTTCGAACGCTATGTCGCTAGCCTTTTTTTTTTCGCTGGTGGTCTCTGACCAGCTGCTGCCAGTCTACACTGTCTATCCGGAATTAACGTTTAAAGAAACGATCAGTTCCATATCTGCTTCTCTGTGCTTGGAATATAAAGTGTGTAACTATCTCGTGTGTTCACTGTGTTAGGATTCAGCCCAACTGGTAGGAGCCGAAAGCCCTGAACCCGGTGGAGCATAGTGCTATCGCGCCAAGTATGCGCGTCAAGCGTTGTCTCTGAGAGTAGCGCCCAAAACAGATAGACGGCAGAAGCAGATTTGCTAAGGCCGCTTCAAGTTACCCAGCTAGTTGGATGTCTCAATAGCCCCATCGTTCTAGAGGAACAGAAACGGCAGAACGATCTGCCCCTTTCGCCTTTTTGGTGCTAGCGAGTATAACTCACGTTTCCCCATATGTTCGTATTACACTGCTGCCTGACAACTGTGCCTCCTTCGACTAGAAAGCAGACAGAGAAGCTAAGACAACACAATGGCACAAGGCAAAGGTCTGGTCCCTCGCCTTGGCCCAAGCGGATTGCTCTTTATATCTTCTTACGAATAGCATAGCTTGCCATGAACTTGTCCCCCATTGAACAACATTGTAATTTACACTTTGAAATATATCGTTGCTCTTTCTTTAACTCCTATGTGTCCTGCCACTTGTTTCTGAGTAGTCGTCTTTTCCTCGCGTTACTCACGCATCTTGCCTTAAGGCTCCCAGTGTTCGAGCCGCTCTTGCCACCGCATAGGGTTTCAAGCTGGGTGGTTGCCTGCCGCCAGTAGCAAACGAAGCAACGCCCGCAGCAGTAGGAGCATGTAATTTTCTTGTTTCTCCTATGTATCTTGTCCGCTGTCTCTTCCTTGTGGCCCGCTGCTGTTATAGTAGGCTCCTGGTTTTGCTTCTGCTGTTCTCTGATACAGCAACGTCCCTGTATTTTGAGCTTTGCCCGAGGGTCTAGAAAAGGGAAGAATTGGTCGGCAGAAATTATCTGCTTTTTTATATCTTGCTTCTACCGCAGGGCAAAGGGATATTCCTGTTTACCCCAGTCTCTTTTTTGGCATCCGTCCTGACGAGACTCGGTCGTCCTTGCACCATCCAGCCTGTCGACGCGCAAGCGGTTGTCGAGCTCAACTGCTTGTCTGTCGCGTCGCCCGCTATTTTCTACCCGCACAGCTAGAAACCAACCGATTTCTTTGCGCGTCATAGCCCTTGACGTCTACTATTTTTTAACTTTGGGTCGCCATCCGACGAAAGAAGCAAGATTGGGCTGCTGTTTCGGGTAGTCCAAAATGTCATAAGTCGAAAGGCTGTTGGGTACAGGCTTTACTAGCTATAATTATGATTTCGTTCTGTACTTTATTCCTATTGACAGCATGGATAAAAATAGCTCAAAAAAATCACGGTTTCCTGCATACAACCGCACGCCCATTCGTTTGTCTTCATTCGTAGAGGTTACGACAACTGGATACTTGTTCCGACGTGACCTAAAGGTAGACAGAGTCTTTTGACTTGCGTTTTGTCTTTTTTTGTTTTCTCCATTTAGGAGGTCTCTTCGATCGCAAGAGGGTGGCATATTTCAACTTCCAACGCGTGCGTTAGTGAAAGGGATGTCTTGGGTCACTTGTGGCAGCAAGACTCCGCCGTTGACGGGCTATCACGCGCCTATGTATGATGGCTATGACAGATAAAGGGTCACTCAGTATTCTCTAGCAGCAGGAAATCTAGACGAGAAGAAATGCAGGAAGTACCAATCACAAGCAAGGAAATTTCGATCACTCTTCGAGAACTTTGTCAAGATCCTCACCACGAAGGGGAGGCCTGGCTTGTCGTCAGAAAACGTCCTCTTCTTTGGCTTCTGACTGACGCTCGTGTACGCACCGCCTGCAAGATCAACAGGAAAGGAAATGTTGATTAACATACTCTGTATAAAGTTTTTATGCGATATAAAGTACGGCGCAGAAATGGGCTCATTGGGGAGAAAGAGGAAAATTTAGAAATGGAAAAAAGATAGTTTCTACTATGAAAGAAAGTAGCTTCTCAGTTGATTCAAACGTTACCTCAATTAAAGCCTGTTTTTCTCACAACTGTCAGCTTAACATTATCCCAGTTGTATACTTCAGCCTGTTTTGCATTTTAAAATGACTTTTGCCCCAATCTGTATAATGCTGTACTGCTAGAATGAACATTAATTACATGCTTTTGGTTAGTCAATAACTATCTGGGTTCTTTAATTATATGGACCAGTGGTATGGTCTTTAAGGCAAAAAACTAACGATTTATTAAGTATGTAAGAACTGATTCTAGCAGTGTTCACTTGTTATATTCCTAAGTCATACCTTCTGCTAGTAGTAACTCATTAGATGTGATGCAGTCTGTTTTTAAGCCTCTCGGTATGTAAAGACAGACCAGATAGGTGTTTAGAACCCGCATGGAGTACATGTCCGTTCTATGCGAAGGAGAACAACGTATACGGAAATGGCAAACAAAAAAGTGCGACGACAATCGAGGTTTCAAGAATACCGGGATACTTCCAATGGAGCAGTTCACCATCCGAAACGGTTCGTTCCCGCCCAAACCCTTGAAGGGGCCAAGGCCACAATTTTTGATACGATACGCTGCTGTACGCTAGATGTATTATAACTTATAACAATTGAATTTCGAAACCTGATTCCGAACTCTCGAACGCGGCTAAGCCAGAGACCGAAGCGGGCGTTTGGTCACGCGGACATTCCGCACTAGTAGGACGAGATGGAAGAGCATCGAAAGCTCTTGTGTCTCCGGCAAACATAGAAGCCTCGCCCGGTTGCACACCAGTATACCAATATAAGATAAGAATGATAAAATAGCAGCTGGCCTGGTAATCATTAATTGCACAACAACACAACAAGCGTAATAGGGCAATAACGCTTTGTCCGGACTGCTGATATAACATCGTCATACGATGCCAATTGTTAGCTTGCTAGACACGACTATAGGGGTAGTCGTTGCAAAAAGGTTTCTCTACACCTTTTGGATAACAACAATAATAATGATAATAACATTCTACTTTCTAACGATGTGATAATAACTGTTTCATATACATGCCGTCTCTTCCTGGAAATTACCGTGTCAAACGTTTACTTCTACGTCGCATTCAGTAAATCGCCACTAAATGACGGCATTAAATTTAGCGATAACTAAAATGGAAGTAGATCAGCTTTGTAGCGCCAAAAGCCAATAACGAACCCCCTGCTTTCAGTTGCGGCTTAGGTATATTGTTTATCGTTATCCGTATAAAAAAAAAACATTTCAAACTAGCTGAATTCACTCAAGGATAAAACGCTCGCTAAGTTGATCGGACATAAATTAGTTTGCGTCTCATAAACACATCTTTCAGGGCATATAGTCTTGTATTGAATTTCTATGGCAGCGGATACTGACACGGAGCGCGAGCGGAAATTTATATTGGTTTCTTTTTAAACTTTGGCGCACGCATTGGAAAGATTCAAGCGATGGCAGATTCGATACCCGGCACAGCGTTGCGGTGTTCAACTGTCAAAGAACTTGACTTTTTTGTGATACATCTTGAAAATATTGGGCTCCACTCTGTAGAAACAGATCAGTGCGCTTGACAGGATCAGAAATAGATTTCTACGTAGATTCAACTGGCGTGTAGCGTTTTCAACGACTATACTGAGTCGACATACCGACTCTCTGAGGATATCAGTAACTCTGATCCCTTCAACTAGCTAAATGTGGCTAACTATGATGCCGGCCAATGGCACTTCGGCCGTAACTCTAATCGAACCGTCGTAAATGCTTTTGCAGTTATACAGATCGTTTTTATGTGGACGGTCAAGTTCATTCTATTCTATTCTATCACTATGGTACGTTATTTTAGCGTCCCCTTAATTACTGATTAAACAAAACATTTCAAGTCAAAACATACAAGTCTTGTATTTATTACACTGGCGGCGAGCTGATGAAGCAGTAGATTTTATTTATATATACACAGCCATGGTAACAATCCGGAGTAATTCTATGTAAAAAAATGTGCTATATTATAAAGTTCGATTTTCCAGTCTAGAGTCAGAACGAGACTAAATTGACAATGAAAGGATCTGGCAGTACGAAAAGGTTATGATTATAATAAGCTTGCTAGGTCTGATCTCTCGATTGTACATTTCGATAATAATTTTCGGGGAAGCTCTCCTATACCTTTCCATTACTGTCTCGGAATCTTATGATAATGATAAATTGTTCTATTTTAATTAGGAAAGAATTTTTTTGTCAACAAAAACGATTTTTTTTTCTAGTCAACAATGATTATTTATTAGAGGCTATCTAATCGTCTCGGTAGAAGTTTGCACGTCAAAGACACATAGCCCTTCTATCTAGCACTCCGGCCAAAAGATGCCTTATTTTTCGTATGCAAATATTCTATAGATACACAACAGAATACATATGTGCACGCTTCATTTGCGCCGCGCAGCTTGTTCGCCCCCTACCGTAAAATCCTATACAGGCGACCGTGTTGTACATTGTTGCCCATCGGACCTTTGCAAGGTATGAACCCCATGTGCGCATAGTTTACGGGTGTGTCATTAGCGCGTCCCCGTAATATACTTATTTAGTTGAACGACAACAACAACGAAGCAATGGGCGTACGACAGGAGGAAAGAGGGTCGAGCAAAGGGGTGTTTCCACAAGTGATCATAGCCGGCTTAAAGATTGCAACAACTTGAACATTTCCGAAGTTCTGCCAGGGCAAAAGTTGTCTGAACCTGATCGGGTATATTTAAATGTAATATATGTACTTTTATCAAAAGAAGTAAGATGTACCTCCTGAAGCGGCTTCTGACCATCGAAGCATAGGGCGTGTTCGTTAGTATTGCGTTAGACTGTGCGCTTTCACGTAGTGAAGGTATTTCTATTTGTGTTAATTCTGGCTTGATGGATGTCGCAAAAATTACGTTTAAGCACAACCGTATTAAGAAAGCTATCTTAGAGTAGCTTGAAACGAGAAGCTAGGCTGAGAATCTAGAAAAATTTAGGAAACGTTTTGACAAAACTTTCTTCTAAGTAATGAAAGGCAAAATTTCGTATGTAACTCAATTACAATAACCTAAGAGCTGTTCCTGTATTTTTGTTTGATAGGTCCCTTCGATAATCGATGGTATACTTAGCCACGATACAATTTTCGTTTACAGACGTTATAAAAGGATGCAGGAATTTCTAGACGAGTTGTGTCATGTATTTGAGCTAATACGTAAAGTATGAATTGGCCCATCAACTCAATATAAGTTCTATATATAAGAAACTTCAACACAGGATAAGCCAATAGCCAGTATCATCCCGAACCTACCAGGAATAAAATTAAGGCTCTTGTAAGGATTCAAAATAGGCTGCATACAAAGCTGATTCTTAACGGCAAAGAAAATATCAAATCAGTTGAAGCCACGAGCGACGACGAGTCTGCTAGAGGCAAATTAAACTAAGTCACAAATCGCTATACGACTGGACTAGAAAGAGAAAAAACGAGAGATACAACAAGCACTGTGTATTAGTTTTTGAACGAAGTAACTTATCGGTTACTAGAAACACGGTCCGACTAACAAACAGCACATGAGACAACAAAGAAAATGCGGTAGTGAATAGCTGATACGACTACAGACAGAAGGTAATGATGAGAAAAGGCGAGAAAGATTCGAAAAGAGAAGTGCTTGCTGTTGATGTTTGTATTAGACACATTGTGGCCTAGATTTGAATGCGGGTATAGACACACTTGGTTTTAAGCCATCCGTCTAATGGCCCAACGGTGATGCCAGACGTAGAAACCGACATATAAAGATATCTGTAAAGACACGAACAGTTAAAGACAAGGCCGTTTCTAGCAAAAAAAAATAGCTAGCGGCAGCCTAAAATAGACGATGATAGAACAATTACGAAAATCGGATCACTGCAATCGGCCGTGAAGGGCAGAGCAGAAACGGACCAATCGGAGAAAATACGTAGGCGGCCATTATGAACATGTTGATATACCTCAGTCACTACGTAACGTGCGCTGGTCTTGGTGATTGGTATCTGTGCTGTGGAGGAGGCTTAACCTAAAATTTGCCGCCGTCATGGCGTTGCGGTTTGAAGTCGTTGCTTCTCAAATAGAGAAGAATTTTCCTTTAGGTATATAACGCTAGTATTTATAGATATTAAAGGTAGCCAGAAATTCATTAGGAAAATCATCTGATGATTTCTGTTACATTTATACATGCTGTTTAGGATAGGTGTTGGTGATATAAGAACAGACCGCACTGGACGTAAATTTTTTAACGACGTCCTTGCGTCATCGGCAACGTCTTCGAAGTACATTCATGCTTAGTTTTCCAGGTACATCATACAAACATTGAGAGTTTTGTCTGCGCGTTACTCGTGGCTAAAAATTTTTGTAGGCAAATCATTTTCAACAGCTGGGATCCGCCTACGGATAGAAGTACGGCAATAAATAATAATGGGTACAATTTCGTTTGTAGCGTCTGAAGAAAAATTACCCTCTCGCGGCGACATCTCTCTATATGTTAAGGGCGCAATCCTACAACAGAACCCAGCAGTGCCTTAATGGAACACTTTGGACATGTTTACCGTTTTCAGGAGACTAAACCCCCGAGGAATGGAAAGCTTCTTGTGCATGGAACTGTGTTTCTACAGTTCTTTATAGATTGGTTCGCTTCTATGGAAAATGCACTACCATCACTTAGAAGCTTCTAGAAAGGATGCTTAAAAAAGTAGGAGTCACCGACCTCCCATCCCATATCACTTGGTGGTTAAATGGTACCCAAGCGTAAGATACATTTGAAGCGATCTTCCTATATCTACTTGATTTTTTTTTTTGCGTCTCAAGAGATTTAGGCTGTCCAACATTTCCAGTTGAAAACGCTATTAGCTTGAAAACAATAATCACAGGCCAACGCGTGCTCGCCGTTGCGATTAAGGCTGCTATTCAATTGCCAGCCTATAACGATTGGATGACCTATTTCGATTGCTGTAAATTTAGAATAGAGCTTTTGAGTAATGGACCGCTTCACTAGTGAACAGAAGTCTCATTTATCTTAAACCAATAACTGGTACCTGTTTTCGATCGCCCTCGACCGTCGCTCGTAGATTTGACGTAAACCCAAAGCCGAACGAACTTCTTTCGGCTATCACCACAGTTAGAATCTGTTCCGTGCCCGCCTCTATATTTCGAAAAAGAGCAAAGTAAACGATGGCAATGCCCTTCGAAATATAAAGCCCATGTTAACAACAGATCGAAATAGTCTATCAGGCGGAATCTGTTGCTTATATGCAAATGCCATGAGCAATTCGTAACGGCACTCGAAATGTACACCTGAACACTACCTTAAACGGCCTCTCTGCTATTACAAGTAGGGCAGTGCCCAATTGAAAACAAATCTGTAGACTTATTTGTATCCAGTCGTTCGTTATCTGACGAATTGAGTAAAAGAAACCGTAGTATGCAAATTACGATCCAACAAATGTCTCATACTTCGTTTAATCTCTATTCATAGCCCAATTCATCTCTGCTCAGACAACTAAATAGATGACACCATCGTACCTCCGCTATTGACGGCCTGCATTTCGCCATCGGCAGGCTTGGGCGACAAACGGCCAGGTCCATCAACACGTTCAATGGCCTTCCGCACGAGAAAGCAAATGGGCCATAATAACCCAAGCAAAGGGTACTGATGCATATTAAATGCTCGTTACGTCATCAGGGGCGCTCACTCTTCCACATTCATACTTAGTTAATTTGTGCGCGAGCTTCTCCATATTCTAAACGGATATAAATAGTTTCAGAAAGTGGAAAATAATGCTACCAACAGATTACAACAGGGATCCGCTTCGCGACGAGTGCCGCGATCTGCCTTGCCGTTGTTGCTATTTTCATTGTCTGAGTTACTATGTCTCGCGCCAGCGGGGCAGACGCGTCTTTATATGCGATTCATTCACATTATCATGAAAGCACGATGGACCTACCAACACTTCGTTCGCCTCCTGTGAATGACAGTTTGCCTTATGTCACGAGATGCGGCAGCAAATTGGCCGATCGATGTTAAGTAGTGCGGAGAAGCACTCGAAGTTATCACATACCGTTTGGTACAATGAAGAAATAATTAGACAGCAATCAATATGACTGTTTAACGAAGGATCCGTAGATGTTTGTATAGCGTGTACTGGCAAGGGGCATCCTTTTCAATGTCGCTAGGGGCCTGAAAGCATAGATGATTGAGAGGGCCCATCACGTATGAGTGTCCACAACATTTGCGTCGAGCCTGTGGGCGGTAGCGGGTGAGGGTCCGGTGGCACTGCCATTAAGCAGCGCAGCTGGTTCAAGTTTTGTTTTTTTTAAGAACGTTTCAAGTTAGTTACTCGTAAGGGTTTACAGAAGAGCAGAAATAAACACGTTTTGTGTCTACTGCTGCTTGGGAATTGTTCAAAGATAGCTTGTTATACGGCTATGGATCGTCCGTTCTCGTACTGGGTTCTGATACAGAGACGTTCCGATATAGCATAAGAACCTGCAAGTATAAGATGGCGTCGATTCAGATGTATTTTACACACGCGTAAACAAGTGCTCCTGAGATCAATCGTTCGATTAAATTTCTTGTAGAAAGAAGCAATTCAGTTGTGAATATTTGATCGCCTTGAGAATTGATAAACGTTGGATACTGCTTTCTTTCTGTTTCGTCGCACTCGTTTCTGCATTAAAAACGTGATGCGTTGTTGCTATGAAAAGAGTGGAAGTTTGCCTGAAAAGCAACATTTTAAACAATAAAGCAAGAAACTATTGCACATCTCTTCCAATCGCACTTCTACGGCGCTAGCCAAGAGAACCTACGTATCCGCAAACGATTTAACCTCAACATTCGCAAAAACCTAATTTGTATTATAAATATGATCAATGTTCCGCTAAGCACAAACCTTAAAACACACCCCACCCATGTGTGTGTTCGTCTTCAGAGAGAAGGATAGCAAAAGTAATTAATATGTTGTATTTCTTACTGGAGTAACTCCTTAATTCAGAAAATGCGCCTCAGCTAAAATTGCTTCTGCTGCTGTTTCTGTTGGCCAGCTTCTTGAGAAGCAGGTTATGGCAACATACGCAGAGGGAGAACAGCCAGCTTAGTACAGGTTCGCTCTGTATAAGCATAGGAAAGTGTAGAACAGGGATGTGTCCGGAGTTTGTGTTGGCTGCCGTCACTAGTGATGTGGTCTCGCGGCAACATCTGTTCACCGTCTGCAATAACACCCCCATCGCCACCGCCATAGTCGACGCCGTCCGTGTCCAATGTGGCGGTCCCTTTCAGAGCCCTCGATTGTACTCAGGGGTTAGTACGACTCGAATCGGCCTCCGTTGAGTAGCGACCATCAGCATCCACCTCTTTCCCCGCCTTGCCCTTATTTCTAACCGCTTGGCCTCGCGTCGTGCTCCGACGAAATGGGAAGTAGATTCCGGTTTTTGTGCAACTCACCCATCTGCAGCCACTCGGCTGAAAAGACGAAGCAAAGCCGGCCAATCTTCGAGGTTGTTCCGATTATAGCAGTGAGCAGACTGAGACTGCTGAACCGCTATAGCGCCACTAACGCTAGTTGTAACCGTAGCCGCTGGCCGCTGTGACAACTGGCCAAAGCGGGCGTCCCACTAGAAGTTTGTAGGCTTTACAGTTACATCTAAAGCGACGATGAAACGCTATCTCTGTACGCTCACCGATTTCTCTAGCTATTTTTCCCTTACCCACTCACTCTGATTTCTTCTTCTTGCACCCTCAGTCCGTATACTGTACCTAAGACTCACTCTCTTTTCTCCTTTCTTTCCGTTGTACCCCTTTCCATCCATGTTGCTATGATACTGCCGCTTGACTTGACACTAGTACAACTGCTACACTTGCGATCCAGCTGCGGAAAAGAGCGACAATCGTCTCGCATCGAAGAATTATGGTTTTTGGCGTCGCTTGACGATAGTAATCCAAAGAGGACAAGCGGTCCGACACGAGGAATGCCATCGGGATAGAACTACCAAGGCGGGTCTGGTTTTTGGATCTTTGGGTTTTTAGTCTTCACAGTAGTTCTGGCTAAATTTCAAGCGGCGGTTCGCTGGAAACGGGACGATGACAACGTAGCTTGACACCGTACACAACTGCCAAAATATCACCGACAACAACACTTTTATAGGGCTATTCGCCATTGTGAACGGTGGGCTTCATCTAGTAACTGGTGCTAACCGGTGGCTTAGTTCGGCCGCTGCAAAAGGCTTTCGACTTCGACTGTGTTTGGTTGGTGACGAGAACGAAGATTGAATGCAATCGGATAAAAGGTGGAAATAGGAAAAAGCCTATCGAAAAAAAATGGTAAGGTCGAAACAGAAAACAGCCACTAAATACCAGCAATCTCCCCAGAGGTAACAAAGGCTCCCATAGATGTAAAGAGCAGTGAGACGTAGCTGTAGTATACAGTCGAGTTCTGGTGCGTCAATGGTCTTTGCCAGCTTTTGCCAGCTAGGACCTTGGTTAGGTTGAGCTAACTTTCCATTCGGTAAGCGAACGTTTTGCTCCGCAGATTTCATACAGGTTTTGGCAGTATCTATGACCACTGCATGAAATCTGCGGGATTGAGACAGGGTGTAAATTAACATATAATATTCTAATATGCAATGCAAGTAAAAGTATGTAATTTTTTTTACTGAAATATCACGATTTGCTAGTTAGCGACATCTTTATGCATTACTGTAAGCCCTATAGAGACATTTTCCTAGAGAAATAGCTTTTGCTTTAACAGAACATATCTCCTTTTTTTTGGTGGTAAATTGCCCCGACTAGATGTACGAAAGCTAGTTATAAAAGACTGCTTGACAAAGCTTCGCTAATCATTAAGAGCTACTTTACCGAGAAAGATTTAGCGCACATAAGTAAGATGCGTTATGCTGCTAAGTATTGATAGCTACTCAAAAATTATTTTGTCACTCTATAGACGAATATTACCTACAAATAATTGCGGCGAGATAGGGTATTGTGTTCCGTCGTTTCAACTGATAATAAGCGTGGTTTTTTTTACCTTCTCCGAGAGAGCTTGACACCCGGAAAGCTTAGCACACTGCCTGTTACGAATTGATAAGAGCCAGCTGACCAGGTGAGATTTAAGTATTAGGTAAAGACCTGCGTTATGATGACCCCACAGGGTACCATTTTAAAGCAAACCTCTATGCTTAACTGGAACCGACTGGAAGGCGCAGGACTGTTGCTGCAGTCCTGCTGCTTCCTAGTTCATATTTAGAAATGTTCTACGTCACTTTAAAATGTATCTATGCATAGAACAAGCGGCTTATGTATGAAGAGCGACGGCACCGCTTGGCGATGATGGTATGGCGAAATTGGGTGCATTTGCTAAATCGGTAAGCACAAACGCTGCAACACTGATTGGTTAAAAGGTAGGAAAAATCTGCTTTATTTCTAAAAATTTGATTGTCTTCCATTCAACCGTACTGAAGATTCCCCCTTCCTAAATTATGCATTTCACTGAAAGGTCATAACAGAACAATATTTAGGAATCAGCCCTGCGGTCACTTATCGTTTGGTTGGTCTTTTACTTGTATCTACTATCCGCAATAAATTCAATAATAGCAAGGTAGTTACCTGATGAGCGTCATCGTGAAAGCCATTCCGACTATGATACACAATCCAATACACGATCCGATAATCCACCAGTAAACGTGCAGTTGTGCGGCCATTCCCTGGCACAAGTTGGGATCTTCATCGGCGGATGTTACACTGCTTCGGTATGCTTCTGCTGGATGAAGATTTCACCAAAAGACGGATACCCAGGCTGTCAAGGTTAGGATGGATTGGGCGTTCTATTTCGCTTATTGGACCACAATCTATGCCCGGGAACGTGTTTGCTGTTTTAATGAGTTCCACAAGGAGTTATAGAATATATCGTATAAGAAATTTAGGAACAAACGAAGGTCTTAAGCTGCGAAAGTTCTGCCCTCCCCCACTTTTATTTAGTTTTATGTAGTTGTATTTGATCAATTTACTTCCTGTAACTTAGCTAGGTAAAATGAGCTTATACCGTTGAGTAGGTCTTGTTTAAGGCGTGATGCGGCCTTATTTGTCTTGTTCTGATTTTATTTACTTATCTAAATGACAGCGAAGTGCTCTAATGACAATTTCAATAACTGCTATATTCTCAGTTTCTTCTTTGTTTTACTTTGCATTTCCTATTTCGCTAACTAACCGGGGCTGTTGCTGTCGTCGTCGTTGTTATCGTCACCACTTTTCGGATTCGTCACCTGCGACGTCCTTGGGGGACAGTTCGGCACCCCATTGCAGACCAGTTCCTTTTTCAAGCATACCATCGACTGCGTGCACAGAAACTCGCAGTCTTTGGAAAGAGATACGAGTGTATCTGGCGAAGATGGCGTCGGAAGGATTTTTACTTGTGTCCACCATAAAGAGAAATTTGCAGACGATCCGTCCTTTGAACGGAACTCAAGCGGAACCTGCACAGCGAATCGGCCATCAAACCAGCGAAACAATCGAGCAGAATCCATGTAAAAATTAAACGACTCTTCATTGCGCACTATTCACAATAACAGTGCTGAAGATTATAGTAAAAAAAAAAAAAAAAAAAAGAGACAGTATTGAAATTATATGAAGTGGAATAAGCGAGTAAGCTCATAAACTATATAAAGATATATTATATTACCATTATTAATATTACTATTATCTCGTTTTCATTTATGTCGCAGACAATTTTTATGGTGTGGCTCAAGCAACCTGCCAGCACCGTTAGCCTATTATAGGTACTTACATAGCCAGCGTGGATGTGCTCCCTGCGTAGTAAAACCGTGTGAGTGACCGGTGGATTTGGGCAAAGTGCAACATCATCAATCAGAAGATAGTTCGCCGAACAGTTACTATATTGACTCAGCGCATGGAAGAACTGCAGACGAAATGAGACGTCGTGATCTGCTAACAAAGGGGCCGTCCATCGGCAGTACAGCGGCAGACTTCTTTCGAGGCCGAGCTCGACTGGCAGGTTTGCATGCGTCGTCATTGGCTGCGCCAACGGTGGGAAATGTAGGCTGCCTTGAAGATCAAGCCCCAGCCGCTCCGGACCACATCTCGTGTCCGAGTAAAATATATAGGATACCTCCAACATTCGGTCACTTTGGGTAAGTTTTGCGACCCGGTGCCAATCTGGTGACGGCTTGAGGCGCAAGCCGAGATCAAGGACCGGCCCGATCGAGACAACCCGATGGCTTTTAGCCGTACCAACCCGACACAAACAAACGGTCTTTTCATGTTTGCTCTCGGCAAAGATTTCAATTCGACCTGGCCCGTGTGCCGGACAGTCGACGTCGCAGTTGTCCGTCTTGACTTCGAACGGTGCACTTATCGTGAGTTGGACTCTGCCATGGGGCCATTCTCGGGCATCGAAAGAATAGTTGCAACCGACGGGTCTCGAATGTTCGATGAAGTCCTTATAGCCAAGCGAAAAGCTGCCTCGAGAGTGGGCGTCACCTTCGGACACCTTGAACTTCTTATTGCAGTTCATCGGCGTCAGCTTGTTGTCATAGATATTGGCGCTGACATGTTTGACTTCAAACGAGAACGTAATCGAGCTGCCATCTAAACTTCCGACCGTGGACGAAAAATCGACCAGCATTCTATTTGAGGTAGACTCGTAAAAGGTGCGGGGTGCCTCGGACCTAGGCCGGTTCGTGTCACAATTTTTCGTGATAATAAAACGCGGGTCAAGCTCGTGTGAGTCATAGATGCGGATCGCCTCCTCGCAGAACGTTACTCGCTCGACGCGGAACTGCGTAAACTCTAGATGAATAATTTCGCCTAACGGCGCGGTGAAGCGATATTGGCACGAGGTATTGGCAGGATACCACGATCGGATCGAATTGTACGAATGAACGGTAGATGAGACGCTCCGCTCGATAATGCATGCACCATTTCGAAGCTGAATTGTTTCGCCACCGCCTTGATCGTAGACGCTATCAGCCTGCAAACGTCAGGTAGAAATGCGCGCAAACGAAAAAACTATTCAGTCACAATGAAAATAGAAAAAAATTAAAAAAAAAAAAAAAGAAGTTAAATGGACGCTCACTGATGTGGTGAGCTACGGCCGTTTATAATGGGAAACGACATGTTTCACTAAAACAAGCAAGATTATACTAATGATAATTAGTAAACAAATATAAGGAACAAAGAAACACTGGAAGCAAAAAGCCGGTACATCTCAGGCGTTTCTCTCTATCAGACTGTCGAAAAAGTATTGATCGTTGCTTTGGCTGGACGGCTTTGAAGTCACATAACTCAGACGATACGAGTCGCGTCGGGTTGGTGTTATAATTTTAAAGCCAATAGTTAATAGTAATAGATGTTCCATTCACTGGAACGCTTTTAGCTAGATACACTTCAGATAGAGCGGCTTGAATATAAATGTAACTTTGGTAAAAAAAAATCACTTTATAAGCTTACTGCGATTGAGACCTAAAGGCTGGCCAGACCCATCCATGAATCTATGCTGTTTATGATCAAGAAACGTTACCAGTCTAGGAATTGTATTGTTGGTTTCTTTCTTTTAATGTTGATATGAAGTTTGCAGCATCCCGTAGCGGCAGACAAATTAAAAAAGTTAAGTAAGTCATTACAAAATCTATCCATGATATTTCCAAGGAACTAAATACTTGTTACATAACATTCTTAAATTATTTGAAGAAAGCTGGGTACAAAAACGTTCGATGTTTGGGTGCCACACAAACAGATGCGAAAAAATTGCGTTCTCATCTGCAAAATACTACACAAACTTCACGAAATTGGGCCATTTCTAAAAACCGTTAACTAGCGGTGTTGGAAAGTAGATTACATGCGACAATAATGGGCAAGTTAGAAACAAAAAACAAAGGAGTATGTTCCACAATCTGTCGCAAAACTCAGGCTCGGGCCAAAGAGGCTGACGCTATCTTCTTGGTATGACCAACGGAGTGGTGCATTCTCGGCTCCTGCCGCCTGGAATAACAATTGATACGGACCTCTACCGGCAACTAACTAGATTACCACAAGATACCAAAAAAAAAAGACCGGAACTAGTGACTAGAGAAAGTGTCGTCTTCTAGCATGACAATGCGCCATTATGTACACGTCTACCAGAAATGAGTAAAACTTGGATTTGAAATTTTAATGCATTCAAGGTATAACCTGGGTTTTGGGCCGTCACTACCTTAACGGTGTTAATTCAATTCAAGAGACGGATTCACAGATTTTCGCCCAGCTTTTTTTTTTCGATTAGTCACTCACAGTTCTAAAATGATGGTAATATGGTGTTACAAGAAAAATGACAGAATGCTATTGATTAAAATTGGGCATATGTGGTTCTGTCGTATCACTTTAGAATGTAAAAAAATTGCCAAAAATGGTTAACATTTTTTCGACAACCCAATATGAGTACTCTGTCTGGTAGGCTGACAAATGTATCCAAAAGATTGCATTTGATTATGAAATGGCTGAATATAAAAAAATACCTACGTGAACTAAAACACTTGTAGTCACAAACGTTGCAACTAGGAGATTGCAGGCACTGTCCAATGCTAAGTGATCATAGTTTGCGATACAAACATACACATGCGCGTATTCTTATTAAATAACATTTAGTTAATATTAAATAACATAAACTCATCCCGACATTACATGAAGCTCTGTTACAGTGTCCGGTAGCCTATAACATCGCTTCACGCAGACGCTATATCACCGACAAAATGCATGGTTTCATATTGTTAAACACATGTCGTAGCAAACGCAAGACGTCCTGTCATGGTAACACACTTGTATACATCCACAAAGTTGTATGTATATAAATATAATTATAATGACTAGCTATGCACTAACATATCTAGCTGCGTTCACCATGATAGCTTCGCTCCCCCGACTTCAGCACCACATCAGATCTATACACAAAGAAAGGGCAGACGCACGTCCGTTTATCTGTGGCCCCGCCCTCGTCACATTTGACATCATAATCTCCGGAGGCGTACGGAAGCGCAGACGAGCCGTTACCAACGGCCTTGCTAGCCCAGAGGGTGACCTGGGTGAACCGACAACACTGAGGTGCATTTAGCGGCACGCCAATCTTCCCGGTTACTCTGCAGCAGGCGTCTATGGCATACTTGCCCGTTTACTGCGGCACGAACTCGCTAATGCGTGAGCCCTGGTCGAGCCCTATTACCCCCCCCCCCCTCACCCCACACTCACACACGTCGACCCAGTGACGGCTCATCGCTCTAGCAGCAGAATCTACAATACTTATTTCTTCTTCTGAGCGTCCAACCACCTCTTTATGTCTATTCTACCAGAGCAGTTTGCACTGGTTGCATGGACCCCATAAAGCATTAGGGGTAGTCGCCGTCAGACGAGGGACGGGCTCCACAAATGACTCTAAGCAGAATGAAGGAGCTCTCTGCGAGAGTGGGTACCGAGCCAGCTGAGCTGCGTTGTGATCTGCGGATATTGTCCATAAGTTTGTGTAGCTATTGCGTTCGTTTCTAGCCCAGTTCGCTAGCACTAAGACAGGGAGCGCTACGCAGAAAAGTAAGTAGGGGTTCCGAGAAAATCTAATTTGCTACACGCTACTGAATGTTCCCCTTCGAAAATTCCTGCCCTCGTAATCGGCATTTTCTTTGCTTTCGTCGCATACCGTCACCCCGTTGTTGTAATGTTCCAGCGCAGTATTCGGTGCTGTGGTCATCGTCATTGCATGAAGGACTCCCTGAAGTGTCTGTCCCTATATATATATGTCGTCCATATAAGTATGTCGACAGACAATAGAGAGGAAAAGGCCAGTGTCACGCCGTAATGGGACCGGCGAAATTTCAAGATATGTGTTGTTCTACAATTCAGATTCTGAGGGTGCGTCTCGTTCATTGTCAACTAAAACGAAGAGAGTCCGCAGAACAGAGTCGGCTGGCCGTTTTTGCCTCGTGGCTCTAACCTTTACCGCCGTACTTGGGTAAACGACGCACCGATGACTGGCGCAAGGACTCTAGCTGCGAGAAAAGATTGCGTGCCGAAGAGAAACAATAACGTGGATGGGCATAAAAAACATGCGTCAAACACGTACGGAACGAGAAGAAGGGAAAGCTTTTCAGCTGGCTAGCGGTTTATACGTGGTCAAAGCGACCTAGACAGAATTTCAGACTCAGGCAGCTATGGATAAGAGCGGCACGTTAGCAGCTTCCGTAGCAAGGGGATGGCAGGTTGCTACTCAACCAAGGAGAGAAGAACAAAAGCAAGATAACCGTCGGGTATACTGTATTGTAGAATAAAGCGTATCCGAGTAATGCAAGACGGTCAAAGCAGGCGTTGAGATGGCTTTACCTGGGCGTAGAGGCAAAGCGGAGCAGGCTTTTCACTGTTGTATTCATGTACCACCACGACAAGAGAGTATTAATATTAGCATCTTGTTTTAACACAGGTACTTACTATGCATATTACTGTCGTTAGGGCCTGTGTTATTAAGAGGGGTGTCACTATCCTAGCCGCAGATCCACGAGATCCCAATCTGATCTGGCCCGAGCCACAAGTCGAATGCGAATAGACCTGGGCAAGCAGGCGAAAGACGAGCCTTCTTTGTATTTTGAAAAAAATAATGGACTGCTGCACGTCGCAGTCGACACAGTCTGCAGGACGTTTACAGAGCATTCAGCTAACAGCCTGGTGCCTGTGGCAGACTTTACCCATTTAACACGATTTGCAGCAATTGAGGTAAAAGCGGGGGAACTTTACATGCAAGGGCGGTGGACTCCGACGATGGCGAAAACAGACCTCAGTTCTTGCATTAGAGCATCGGTAGTGAACCGTATAATTCCGGCACTTGATCATCTTCAAAACGTACTCAACGGACATTCAACTCGGAGCTGCCCCGTTGCGGCCCATTTCCCCATTCCATGAATAATCTCAAGTAGCGTGTCGATGCCTACCGTGAACTTTTTTTTTTCTCTGAAATGACCTCTTCTGTTTCAAGAATATCTTTTCCTTATATTAGCTCCTCCCATAGCTTTGCACAATGTAGCCCTCTTACATCACGTTATTTCTTCCAAATTGTCACATTCTTCACCGTACCCCGTTCCTCTCTGTTACCTTTATTTGTCCTTACGTATGCGCGTTGGCGTGCGCGACTCAGCACGCGCTTTCATGATCGCCCTTGTTTATCTCGGCTGATCTTTTTCTCAGAAGCTGGAGTCAGAAACGGGTTCGTTATGTACCGTATGTTAAGAACCGTATCAACATCACGTAAAACGTAGAGACTAACAAGACTAACCAGGCAGTTGAGGCAATGACTTAACTCCCCAAACACTTTTTGTTTCAACCGACCTTAAAATGAAAACCTGTGTTGAGCAGGGGCCCGGCAGGAGAGCTCACGAACGTAACGAGCATTTCGCTGCTTGAAGCCACAATGTTGGATTTGAGACGGCCGCGCCCGCAGAGAGTCGTGATGACGGGATGATCCTCTGTGGGTCCGTCGAAGACGCGGACATAATCGAAGGGACAATCCGCCGGGTCCCGCGAGATTGGCCTGGGAAAACACATCAGAAGGTTGTCGCACCGAAGTCCGTCCACATCGAAAAATGTCAAATCGAGGCCGACGAGGCTTTGACGCATGTTTATGCGGAACTTGCACGATAATCCTCGCGGATAGATGCCTGGATAGGCTGGACTCTGCACAAAACACCGGCCTGGCGCGCAGTCCTTGAACAACCGATGGCAATATGTGTTTTGGACGGGCTGACCTCGTCGATGAGGATAGAGATTCGAGTACTGACCATATCTGGGGGTGTAAATTAGAAACAAACGAAGAAATCAACGCGGAAAGAAACACCAATATAAAAGGTAGTGAGTAACGCTTGCTATAAAATGGCATAAAATTTTGCTTTTGATGCAGCCTGTGTCTGTCAGGCCTGAAACATTAGTTTGCAGTACACTAATTAGTGCTATTTCCTTGTATGTTATTGTTGCAACGCGGTATAAACTGCTACATAACGCACTAAGCATTACGATGCGATTGCGTTCATACGCTTATATGGAACTGTATCTACTTACCTAGAGGCGACTTCCTGTTGCTGTTTTACTGTCGCCTCGAACTGCATGTAAGTGTCAGGACCATACTCATCAGCGTGGAATACCACCTTTACGTATGGAGTCTCAGAAATGAACGTTTTCGGTGAATCGATTTCGCCGCAATAAAAGCCCGGATTTTCCCGGTTGGAGATATTTGTTTCTCGGGTATATCCATCGACGATTTGTATATAACCTATAAAGAAGTACAGAATAAAGGGGAGCTTGCTATGCTATTCGTTCTGCTGAAACGACAATAATATTTATGAGAATTATTCTGCATCACCTGGTCACGTACAGATAGCGACCTTACTACGAAGAATCTACGTAGGGCATCCGTGTACGTACCCCATAAAAAGGTCGCTGTTCAAATATCTTCGCAAAGACGTTTGTAGACATACTGCGACCAACTGATGGGCGTTTTTGAAGCCGATACTTTCTCAGTTCCATTCTTTCTACGAATCTAATTTTTTACTACAAGTTAAACTTGAAGGATGATATACCTTTCTTTCCGTACTAGTCTGTGGAGATTTTTTCAGCGATATGTGTTTATTGGAAATTCAATCTGTTAGAAGCGACCATACGATTCAGTTCTTGTCCATACCATGGAATCTGGAGTGTATTTTAACACGTGTACCTGCCTGTTGTAATCGAAAGTCTTGGCGGGGACGTGACCATAACAATGACAACACGGAAGAGTTGTACAGAACTGTGGCAGACGTGCTACGAAGCCGTGATAGCAATACGACCGTGCAATGGCGGAATCAGATTGACTAAACAACCAACGATCATGGAGCGGCTAAAATAACGCGCTCAGATTAAGCAATAAAATGCCTGATTAAAATAAGCTGATTTAGAGGGAACTGCAAAGTAATCGGGTTCGTACTGCAGAATACTAAACAATTGCAAGGGAGCCTGGTTTAGACTTTGGATTCTTGGTCAAAGCCGGTTTCAGGATAGACTGGTGAAAGTAACAGGAAGACATTGGATAGCTTCCGATATGTATGTTTACAGGCAATATTAGAAAAAGAAATAATTACGCTAATGAACTTTTATATTCACACGTAAAGGGAACGGATGTTGTGCATCCATAGTGATTTTGTAATACAGAAATCGAGTGGAGACAAACACTCGATCTGGACGCGTATTATATATATATACATGTATATATAAGCCAAATTATTATTAGTATAAATATTTAGTTTTTGATGATCTTTTCCTTTCTACGCTGCGTTGCTTTTGTGATGTTCTATTTCAACTGTCTTTAGCATCACAATCGTTGCCGATACCATCATTGGTCCATTTTCAATCATAGTTCAACAGCTACCTTGTTTGTTTATCGCTTTCACTATACCAGCAAAAAACCATATATCAAAATAGTTACCGTACCTGTTATGGGAATGTCACAGAAACATACAATCTGGCCGACCCGCTTGGGAACCTTGCCATTTGACCGTCTAGTAGCCTTTTGCTTGTATAAATCTTAATTACAGACCGATGTGCCTATTTACAGTAATACTTTCGCGTTGCGCATAAAGGACGGTTTAGACGGCGTGCAAGGAGCTGTTTCGCCAATCACACCGGGGCGTTATCGAACTTTCAAAGCCAGAAAAAATAGCGGGTAAACAACGAAGAGTAATCCGAGTTTGTGATAGCGAAGCGCTCTCAGTCGTTTGTGAGGTATAGGCACATATTAAATTGCATACAGCAACAGATGCGTCCGATAGCAGCGATATCTTTTGTCGGGCTACAAGGAGGGCAAGCGAATTTGTCTGCCGTGTGTTCGTACATCCGTGGGATTTAACCAATGGTGGGCAGTGATGGGTTTAACAAAAATACATAGTAAACGATACAACATTTTGGATAATAATTTCCTTAAATAAAAAAAAAACAGAAACTTATTTATGGTGTTCGTTAACGCACAGTCTATTATAAGAGAGACAACAGGTCTAGCTAATAGTAATAACAAATACGGGGTGCACCTATGAATACACCTCGCATCGAACGGTTTTGTATTCCTATGGCTGGGTAATTTGTTCTAGTCGTACAAAAAAATTTGAAACCGCAAAATCAACCGGTAGCATGTTTCGTCCTGAAGCCTTTTTTTGGCCGCGTCTCAGCCGCTGTCCAATGCTCGCAGCTCATGAAATATAGTCGCCTTACGGGAAGCGGGATCAGTTCCACGAATCTGCTACGGTCTCAGGTTGGCTTTGGTTGGCAAGGGGTACCTCGACCAGTTGTAGTTTGGCTTGGACGGGAACTCCCATTCTTTGCCTCTTTTTTCCTGTACGTCTCTCACTATCTCATTTTCTTCGTTTTTTTTTTTCGTGTACCTCGTTAAGCTTGTGCCAGGCGGTAGCAGTGTTACGATTACAGTGACAAGGACGCGCGTCGTTTTACAATTGCGCCCATGGTGAAGATGACGAATTTAACGATAGTTTTGCCAAGAATGTCATTGCTAGCACGATGTCGTTGTAGCTGGATTGTCGTAGACACCCCATGGATACTGCCATGATACCGTGCTGCCACTCGAGTACGCGCAGCAGGCGAGCAAGCGGCAGTCATTATGCAGACGGACAGGACGGCAGCTGGCTCTAGTCAGCAGTCCGCTGATAGCGATTTCGAAACGACGAAAAAGCATTAGATCTATTCGTTCCGTAGTGCTTTCTCTCTGCCCGGACCCGTAAGGGAGTACTGCTGCTGCCAACCCACTGACTCGTGCACCATGACCTAGCGTTTTTATGTTCTCTACGACCAGTTGTCCTTCGCCCTCAGCCACTCGAGAGTGGTACGCACGAGGGCGGCTGTATACCTTTTCGTTTATTTCGTATATTCGCCCCGTTCCTCCTGTTACATAATCATTGAGTAGTGTTCGCTTCAAACGTTCGGGAGACTGAGAAGGGTTAGTACATTTGTTGTGTAAGTGAAACGTAGGGCGTTTCGGAGAGCGATGTTGCTAGATAGGGTCGCTCAACGGGTGGACACTGCTGTCCGGCTAGACCCACAAGTCGAAACTGTGTAGATATACAAGTTACGTTTATAGTGCACGATGTAAGCGTGTGTTTGATCGTATCTCTGATATCAGCACAAGTCGAAAAGCCTTTACTCTCTAACGGCTTTACCTGCGGCTGTCAATACTTGACGTTTTGGCCTTCGGCTCACTATCAAACCACCGTAGGCATATATTACGTTTCTCCACGTGTTCAATATTTATCAGTCTTTTAGTCCTCTGTTCCAAGATCTGCGTGGACAAAAACCGTACCAGTCTTACGGCTCCATCGCTGAATCTGACAGCTTTCGCCGTATTACCGGCGAAAGCAAGCTTTTCCTACATTACACAAAGGCTTGTATGGCTCTCCAATCTCTGGTACCTCCCTCCATTGCTTCTTCCTAATTCACCTCCGACACTACCTTTGACGTCAGTCCGTAGATATGTAATGACATATCGCCGTCGCCAGTGGTCCTACAACTGGTTTTTGCCTCTCACCGCAATCTTCCCACTGGTTCTAGAATCCGGCATCTCCCCAGGGGTGACGTGGTCGTGAAGAAGATTCGTCCGTCTACGTCCACCATCCGATCGGCCGAAAATCCGCGGCCACTGCCAAAACGGCCATCAGCATCATCTAATGGCGACTCAGTGGCTGGCTAGGTGCTCAATCCGCTTATTGTGATTCCTTCCGGGATCAGTGCGATCATTGTCGTCAACGTCATAAGCAGCTGCAGCAGCAGTGGCATCAAAAGCAACATTGAGATTATTATCATTGTCCCCGTTGCCATTGCTGTGCTAGTAGGAGTCTATATAATGATAGCAACAGCCAGGAGCAGGGAAAGGCAGACAGGCAGGCAGGCAGTAAGGCGGACGTCGGGAACTTGTTAGAAGAGCAGGACAACGGAAGGAGTTCTGCGCATGTGTTTGTGTGGCAATGTCCATAGCTATGACAAGAGAATGTTGAGCAAGCGCCAGCCAGCGGACGATATGTAACAACGAGACAATGAACGGCGAAACGAATGGAGATAGAATATTTTTTCACACGAATAATACGGTATTTGTGTGTGATACATTTTACGCGAATTTTAACTATAACATTACGGCATAACTAACTGGGATACGGTATGATACAATTTCGTCGACTAGTAGAGTGGAATAAGTGTCCGCCCACTGCAGCGCACTAGAGAGAATATCGATCAGTCGCCAGTAAGTACGGCGGAAAATAGAATCTACGCAGTGTCATAACGCTAAAAGGCGTATGCGCTGGTCCATCTATAACGACAAACGAGAGTTTCACGTGTAATGAAATGATTGTATCGGCACATGGTTCCTTCGGAGTCAAACCGTACCAAGTTGGCGGCGCCACAAGTGGGAGTTGTGCGAGCGCATGTATCCAAGACTTTGGCAAAATCAACGAGGCCAATCTATAAGCAACGACGATGTTGCTTCGGAGAGCTCGTATGTACATGTGTAAAAGAATATTATACACTAGACGAATAATTATCATGACAATCAACAACGCGATTGTACAGTGAAGCAACATCCATTCAGTCAATCCATTGACAGAATCGCTGAGTGAAAATACCAGGTATCAAAATTTTTCTCGAGCCCTATCGACATTATTGCCACTTTATATAAGTAAACGTCTAGATGTCGGTAGATATTTGAATAGTAAAAAAAAAAAAAAAAAAAAAAAAAAGATAGTCCCTTCGTTGGTGGAGTGTTCGATTTTTTTAGTTAGCCTCCGATCTTTGTGGTACCTTTCGATACGTTTATGCGGCACCATCGAATTCACTTATATTACAGTATCAGTCTCCACTGCGTTCGTAGCTGTATAATGTTATAATGTATTATTTCATGGACGTGACGCTTCGGTAGACAAACAGACGTAATCACCAATCTATCGAAAGATGGCCAATATACCGTAACTAGTATTGGTCTTTACAAATCGAGTTGAAAGCATCAGCTCGACATTGGCACCGCTTCCATCATGACGCAAATACAAGATGGCCAATAAGGTTTTCATCTTTGACATGCTTTAGCTACTTGATCGGGTCCAATCAACGCTTTCAGTTTTACGTGGCCTACTAGTTCGTAAGGCCGGCACACCTAAATACATTTCGTCAAAAAGCTTTCCTATCTAGAAGCTGTGTAACGTCCACTGAATGACTGTGGTGAGGCTCCATATTAATTGCGTGAATATGTATTCAATCCAACGTTAGCGAACGATATGCTGTCAAAGCGTTTAATATAACCTTTCTTTATCAAGCCCATTGTCCCCTTAACGCCCCGCCATATTTGTTTGGTTTCGTATCCCCCTTCCGTTTTGTTGCTCGATTGAGTGATATTTGAATATCGCTAGGACAACATTGATAACAGTCTCTTCTATTTGTGCGTGATATGTTCGCTTGAATAACAGCAAATCAATACGCGTTTATCCTCCTGAGGGATTTGTATGTAGCGGGCCGTTTGTTTTTTCTGCAGAATTTATAACCGACTACAGTTGATGCCTGTTGATTGACCGAACGTCTGCATCGTACATCAACAACTCGATAATTATTTAAATGCATAGTTTGATTATATACGAGGTCAGACACAGCAGGCGTCACTTGAAGGACACCATTTGCGCAGGTGCCGAGGATCCGATGTTAGCTATAGGCATTTCATATACGCATGATCCCTTTTCATATTCAGTGAATGCCTTCACTTATGCGATAATAAAAAAGATTCGTAGAAAGAACGAGCTGTTGAGTACAATCGGATTTCCTTTCTACCAAATTATTATATTCAGCTATGTAGCTAATTGTCTTTTTTTGAATATTTTTTTTAACAAGAAACAACATTACGCCGCTACCAGTGCTATATTCAACATGTTAAAGGGGTTTTTAAATTGTCATGGTCCAAGAACAACTTCCACCGTGGTTTACAGGCTTTTTACCTCCATCACAGGCCTGCCGATCTTCCTGAGGTACTCCCGCCCTCATGCGTGTGAAACGAACAAATACTACCCAGTCTTCACGAGCCGGTCGAACTCGAATCCGGTAGACGCAATGCAACGGCTTGCCAAAATTGCGGTCGGTCACAGGTGGCAGCTCGACGCTTTGGTAAATATCCACCGTCCTGGAGCACTTTTCCGATGAAACGTCGTCATCTAATCATAAGATACAGCGGAACGAAAAAACGACATGATGGTAAGTGTCTTGTCCCAGAAAATGAAATAATAGCTTCTTATCTATAGATAAACGGTATGCATTGCGTGTTTGCATTTTTCAAATTACCCGCCCAAATGTAGAATACGTGGAGGAAAACACTATCCGAATTTTATGTTGTACGCTGGTTTGAGCAGTCTCTGCCTGAGCTGATGTTAGTGTCTGTGTGTGTAGGTCGGACCAGCCATGCTCGTTCTTCTCAAGAATCATTCCCTTGCAATCCTTTACCGATTAGTCTCAAATAGATAATATATAATTGACCTGCGCATCTTTTTTTGTCCTGGTCATGTCTAGCGTCATGTCACAAGTCGATAGGCGTATATGAATATCGTTAGTTATACTCGAATAATAACACCGCACCAAGTGGATTTTTTGTTTCTATTCAAAACCTTCTTGGTCCACTCATTTAGCGAATACACTCGCTCGGCTTTAGTCCTTTAGCCGATGATGTTTAAATTCATCATAGTAACAATATCTAGTAATAATAACAGCAGCAGTAGTAAAGCAGGTCGTTAGGACGCGATCATCCGATCGTACAAGCAAGCTCTCAAAAACGCATAGGGTTCTTTATTTTGTTTCTCAAGGGACAAATTCGACAACGCAACACTACTTCAATTGTATCTAAAGTAAATAACATTGTTGTAAACTTTTTACATTAAAAGAGTATATTAAATCGCAATAATTCGACAGTAAGAAACTTCCTGAAGCATTTGCACACTGAAGCATCACAGACAGAGACGTATTTCCGAAGCTAGAGCGAGACACTGTCTCTTTTTATTATTGCTGAGGTACGATAAACGTGAACATTTTCTGCTATAAGCCATCCTTATTATATATTGTACAATAATCGTTTTTCTCCAAATAACCATCTCTAAGTCACGCTCTAAATCATTTTTTCGGTTGCCATCACTGTCGCACAGGGGCGTCTGCCGACCGCATTTGATAAATATTAATGGCGCATCGCACATAAACTGGATCACGATGCTGAAGCCCTCTTGCATGATCAGCACTTCTACAGCCCTAAATTTTTGTTCAAGAATTGCGTCCATACCTCTGAATGGGCGTTACCCCCATAACCTTGCTGTACGCGTTTGAACACAGATCAAATCATCGCCACCTACAATACATCAGACATAGTCTCTCAGGGTGGAGCGCCTCCTCTATACTTCACTAATTAAATCAGAAGGAATTGCACGTAAGTTCATATCTGGTGGTACGCTGTCTGAACATTTATATGGATACTTTGTGAAACCTTTATGCATATGAGCTTTATATATCTATTCTAGCATAATGAACTCACGCAAAAGTACATGAGATAGCAGGAAATGCAAATACTCTACAGATACCTACTTAATGGAGTCACCTGTGGAGCTATACAGGCAGTACAGAACTACACTTTACCTAACACAATGAGTAGTTAGGATTAATCAAATCGGCGTACATCGGTAAGGGCATAAAGGAGAAATCCTAATAGAAAGGGGATATATATTTGGAAATATGCCTTTGTCTTTTTAGGGTTCTTGTGCGATGCTTCTAATACTTGGCCGTTAGCAATATACAATCTTCATCTCTCACCTGCATTACCAATAACCGTCCAAACAATAAATCAACCAATAGTCCAAATAGTACTACCAGAATACATCATTGGATCGTACTTAAACATTGCCCCCTTACGTTCACAACAAGAATTGCTACCACTTCTAAATACCTTTAGCATCCCTTTCAGTCTATAGTAAAATGTTCATTACTCTATGAGTGGTACCTGTCCGTGTTCGCTCGATGTCTTTAAGACGTTTGCTCGCTTTGTTCATCCTCTTCATTTATTATCTGCCAATTTTCGCACTGTTCTTGTCTGACATTAATGCTAAGGTCGAAATGGTCAATGGCCGATCAGACCCGAGATCGCGCCTACCTGCACGAATCGAGCGGGTCAAAAAGTAACCAAACTCTAATTTAACCCCTTTTACTTCTCAGCTAAAGACAGAGGTTTGCAGAAGAATTAGTACATACTGTAAGTACAGTGTCCTTACTGCTATCAACACTGCTATCGGCTGTGTGGGCCTTGCAAGAGGGAGATACTGCTGGGAGCCAGCGGCCTCGCTACGTTGGTCATTTTCAGTACCGCTTTAGGCGCGGAAGCATAGACAGAAAGAGGGAAAAGAAAATTGGAACGAAGCGCTGTAATCACCATTGTTTAGTCTACTTCCAGTTGGACGTTGCGATCACCGTTCCCAGAGTGGTGCGGTGAACGAAAGAAACGCACTGGTCACGAAACGGTATAGTTCCATCAGATTTTACGTACGCGCTGTTTGTCCAAGTAGGCAGGCGAGCAGGCCAGACCACTCTGTTGTCGAGCCTGGTCCGGTCTATTCTTTGTACGGCTTCCCTTTATCTAGAATCAAAGATACGAAAAGCCAACACTAAGTAGTTCGACAAGATGGCTTCAATTTAGCGTCCATTATAAACTCGACTCAAGGTCCGAATCCACTGGAAAACAACCAAGCACACATTGACTTGCTAACAAATAGGCGACAAATAGAAGTGCGACACCCCGATCAACACGGCGTGTTTTAGAGAAACGAACGGCACGGTGCAAAATCGACTATTAAATTGTATATGATAAAAATTTTTGTCACATTGGAGCTGCAGTTCGACAGGTGGAAAGAGGGGACTCGGACAGAACCTTAAAGGGTTTTGTTTGCGTGCACACATATAAACGCTGATCGATGCTGTTATACATTTTATAGAGAATTTTATGTTTATTACATTTCAATAAACATTACTTTGTTTTGTCTAGTCCATTGTCTGTGGCTCAATCTATGCTTAGGTCAAAATCGATGAAATAGAATGTGAACTGCATGAATGCCGTCAGGTGCGACAGGCGCAATGAAGATTTACAAGATATTACATTAAGATGAATACTGCAAAGAGACAAAAACATCCATGAGCAGCAGAACTGTGTTGAACAACTAACTTCATTATATAATTATGACTTGTTATTAACAAAACGCGATAACCAGAAACGTGTTTGCAACGAGTTGTACTCTCGATATCTTTTTTATCCCCAAAAAGAACGAGAGTGCAAAAAATTGGCTTGTATGTGGGTTAGCAATCAGTAGGCCTCGTATGACTTGGCCTGGCTCTGCGTATCCTCGCGCCAATCAATACCTGTCCTTCAGCTCGAATGCGCATTTACTCAAGAGCCTTAAACGTTACCGCCGCAGATAGCATCAAAAGTCGATAACTTCTCGTGATAGTCACGCCTTACTCAATAAATTCGAGACTATAGGTGTCTTGCCATCTATATGATTGTTACCTACTGTATGGGTCTGCCAACCTGTAGCAATGGTCGAGAATTTCTGGGTAGAACTTGTGGGTTGTAACAGTGCATCAGGTTATTAAGGATCGAAAAGTCTGCTCCCACGCAAACACTTCTCACGATCCTTCACTGTGTTAAAGTAATTCTGTAATAGGGAATCTTGGCTAAACGTAAACGTTTCATACAATACATTTTATACACGAGTCAGCCGAATCTGGGTATCTGCTTAAACACCTTGGTGGAAACTTCTCTTAGAAGAAAAATAACTTTGCGGTGAGGAGCAACATTTGATGGACGAGGATACAAGGTCAAAAACTAGAAGAAGAAGGGGAAAAGCAGAACTTTCTTAGAGTCATTTGCTTAGTCCCCAATTGGCCTGTTCAGAGCACGCTGGTTATGCTACCCTTAATTGTGTAGGTCATTAGACATTATACGTCTAACAGCTCTAAAATATAAATAGTACATTAAATTGAATTGGCAGAACATATTATGCCGTCTAACTAGCGCGACTACCTTATGATTTCCATGAATAGGGTTTACACCGTTTAATGGACGTACTTAAAAACAGGTCGTATGTGGTTAGAATATACGTCACGGTTCTCTACTGAAGCATTCTCGGAACAAAAATCATTATCCCAAGTATCATGCTTTACCTGTTAGTAGATTACTACGATCCTAACAGGATTTTGAATGAGACCATTTTTTTTTTACAAATCGTGCAAATTTTATCTTTTTTTCAGTGCAATATTAGATATTATAACAGAAATAACACTAAGCGAACTTGAACTTGCTTGCAAATGAGCCTTGTTTACTTATAAGTATGAGGTCGCAGTTTGTAAAGCGTAGGTAGGCTCGAATAGGCCTGTTACCGAAGCATGTACCAGGTCGACGTGAATTTTGCCAAAAAAATTATGCTGTGCCTTTGTTGCGTGCCAGTCCCGAGTAACTGGTCGGGAAGAATAACATGTCACTTTTCGGGCGGTGATTACTTTGTCATAATCTTAATAGAATTTTATCGGTAAATCGGATTATACCCTGATATAGTTGTTGAGCTTCACACGACTTCTATTTGAGGCATAAGTCATCCTGGTTTTCCCAACTTGGCTTTGTCAATAGTAAAGCACCAAGAAACCGTGTCTTCCGACGGATCCTTGCGGCAAAATGTTTAACTACGATGCTTAGATGCATATCTTTAACAACATATCGAGAGAAGCCGAAGCTCGTCTTATGACGTGCTTCAACTTCTGTCGGTCAAAGCATTTGTAGCCTATTTCGCACGGAGAATTTGTGCTCTTCTCTGGAGCCTGGTTCTAGGAAAGGCCTGCTGGATTCGCAGCTTAGCCTCAAACTCTCAATGATCTACGCAGCTCAGCATTTGCCCTAAGGCTATTGTTAGTCGGATCGCATATTCTACTTTCATGACATTTTTTCCATACAAGTTTCTAGTAAGTAACTCGTTTTTGACGAAGCACGAAATAAGGACGAAACAAATTAGATGAACTACAACGGCCTAAACATTTTACCACGCATAACTTACCACTGCAAGCCCAATCAGTAGCAATGTACATATTTGTCTTACAAATATTTGTAATATATCTACAGGATACATACTTAAATGGAAGA